CGAAGACGCGGTCCATGGCGGGCGTGGGTGGAGCCAGGCCTGCCATCGCTCCCTTTCTTCATTGACACGACCCATTCAATAAAAAGACAGGGAAGAGTAAGGAAGAGTTGAAGTACAACTGTGGGCTGGCTCCGCCCTCGCGACCGGCGTGGAATGTGTCCTCAGCTTTGGGTAGTTCGCTTCTGAGCGACAAACTTCCCACATTTGAAATCTTAAAAATGTTTCATTTCTAGGTAAATGCCATAGCGATCTCTCCCGACAACACGATGTGCGTAACTGTTGGTTCGAAACATGTGAAATATTGGCATCTTCCTGCTGGTGATTCGCAACAAGGCGCCGGTTTACAGGTAAGGTTTGCCCACGTGGGAAACATTTCTTAAGGTTTTTGTGCTACTGTCGACCCAACGAGTTGCTTAGAATGCTGTGTCTTGAGAGCGTATTCTCTGTCAACTGTGAATGTAACAGGGCTGTATGCTCTATATCCCGGGGCCCTATATCCCGAAAATATGAGGGGAGTGGCTGAGTACTTCATTTGACCGCGGCGATAGTTGCCTCGTGGAGGGATGCCGCCGTTTTGTGACAACTGTCATGATGTTTTCACCCAGCACAAATAAGGATGGTAGTTGCTCTGAACGAAATTTCCCACGAAAGACATCCTACGCTATGTTCTAATGGAGTGTGAAGCCACGCCCTCTCCCATCCTCGGGATATGAAGAGTGACAAAGTCTGTCCTTCTTCTATTTGGGATGTTGAAGGGACTTAAAGGGGACATTCTGGTGTTCAGGGATCTACATAAACTAAGTGTATTGACCGCTTGGACCACGGAAGTTGGAGCGCTATTAGAGTTCCTCAATAATGCTATTCCATTCTGTAAAAAGGTCTTTGAGCACTCCAATTTCTCCCCGTCTGGGAATTTGACGGTATGGTTGGCATCGTTTCATATGTGAGCGGGAAAGGATGTGGAAGAAAAACGTTGTCTGCCTCCCACGGATGTGCGGGGAGTATATTCTGCCACGTAATACGTCTTTAGCCGCTTGAAAACTCTAGACAGTGCCACCTGGAGGGCTGCAGTCGACTAGACAGGCAGGTGACCGTTCCTCTCACCTAACCTGAAAATCCCTCATTTTGACAAGTGGAAACAATACATACCAGAGATGCCTATTCAGTATGAAGGACTATCTGCTTAGTATCCGTTTCAGTCACGCTCTGCGATTCTTGCCGATCGGAGAAGTTCGATATTTGTGGATGTCGTTTTCTTAGACGCGAATCGAGTTCTGTCAGTTACGGAGGATGGAGCACTAGTAGAGTTCCTCAATAAGAAGGTAATACCTAAATAGTTTGATTCAGAAAGTGTATCTTGCTCTGAAGGGGTCATGAACACAGTCTATGAACTTTTACCGAACTATCTCTTTTTTTCTTGAATATGGAGGGGAGGGAACCACTCCCCTTTTTTTGTTTTTCTCGCCTGTGGACCACTCAGTCAGGGCACCTTGCGGTGTCTTCGATCAACCTAGGTATATTATGTCTCCTTCGATTTCCCGTCTCCTCATTATTTCTCCGTTTAACACTGTATGGGTCTCAATTTCTTTCATCTATCGCGAAATTTGCTTGTCTTTAAGAAGTTTGTATTTTGCCCTTGCATCCCTCACCCAGACTTCATGAGCCCTCGTAGGATTGGTCCTCATTCGTGTAGTGTCCATACTCGTAACAAGCAGGCATTACTAAATTGTATGTATACGTCATTCGTTCATATTTCATTTCAGTACGTGAAAACGTACCGATTCGACGATCCCAGTCTACCGTTATGTTTATCGGTGACCAAGGATGCAGTAGTGGTGAGTTGATCTTTCAGGACCGTATTATCATGGTTATCATTTTTCCTGGTGACAATGTTTGTTTGTTTTTCGAATATTTCCTTCGCCTTGCTAAAAATCTCGCTTCCGCTTTCAGCTTGGTTGTACAGGCGGTGTGATTCGTCTTTACGACAAGCAGGACCTAAAAATGCGTTGTCGTTTACCTCATCCGGCTTTCATCGGAATGGATCCGGCTGTTGCGAGCACGGCTGAGTCGCTTGATATTCATCCGAAGGATGTCAGGTAAATCATTTAAAATTCTCATTTTAATTTTTTATGTCGAAGTTTTTCTTTCCGATCGTTTTTGTAAGAGGAAGTAGGCAGTGAACTTGTAGGCTCAGGAGGCACACTTTATTCGAGTCGTATGAACGGAGTTTGGTCACCCAGTACCCAAAGCCTTCAGTAACGCTTCCTTTTTATCGTATCAAGGAGGCACCTGGGGGATGGCGCAATAGCAGACCCAACTCCGCCCATTTGTTCGTCGTAGAATTCGCCTTAGAGTAGATATTTCACTCAGTGAACATGCTTAGCGTGTAATTGGATGTTTGGAACCTGCCAGACTTCCCTTGGGGCTTCTCTGAAGTGGATTAGGTCATGCAGTTCGCCTACAGGTCAATCTGGAAGTTAATAACAGTGAACTTCTCATTAACTAACCTTGAAACTGAATATACTCAAAGGTCAATCAATTTATAATTGCGAACAGCCAAAGTTTCTCGTAAGTTATACGTCTGATTTGTTCTGATACCTGATGAATGGAACTTCTATATTTTACTGGAAGGTGGAATTAACATCAGCGCTAGAGGGCATAATTTCAAAGAACCGCTGCAACAAGGAAAATCCACCTTTTTCTATTTTTTTCAATACAAAACTAGTTTTTACTTCAGTTATCCCGAAGTCCGAGCTTTGTGTTCGACGTCATCGGGTCCTGAGACGTTTATAGCCGCATACTCGGATCGCTCGATGTTCGTCTTCGAGAGGGACAATGCCAGAGATCAGTGGAAGAAGCTCTCCAGCTCACTAGCTCATGTGGGAGCGGTGACGGTAGTTAAGGTTAGATGCCATAAATGTATCATAGGTCACTCACTGTCACTGATTTGGCGTGTTTAACATAACCGTAAATGGGATTGACTAGCTAGGGGTCTTCTGGTGGTTTCTGCAGGTTGTCACAATGTGGCTCTCATAGACTGTTTTCGCTTTCCACGGCTTTTTTTGTACGATTTATTTTGTATTTAGCGCTATCCCTCGCAATTTCCCTACTTACCTAGCGGGTCGTTTATAACAGGTGGAGTGGATGGTACAGTTCGGATATGGAGTTTGGAGAGGAAGAAAGACAGGGTAGGTCCTTCTGAGGTTCATTCGATGTTTCAGGTTTTGCAGTATAATATTTGAAGACTGGTATACCCTATGAACCCATTTTTAGGCTTGTTCCTTGCCATGCACGAACCTTTTGTCTCCAACCCTTAAGAAGATCATACACGTCGAGGATAACTTCTCATCACTCGTGGAACCACGCGGAGGTTAGTTGAGGTCTTTTCTCTACGTGAAATGAGTTCTTCCAGACTTTGAAAAGGCCTGAGTTCAACAGGGGTATAGAACGAGAAAAAAAAACGTGAATATTGCAGATGTTGGTCTTATGCCAAGCGAAAGAGTGGAAACAATGACCGGAATTCGATGTTTGACGGTATCTCCTGACGGCAAACATCTCGTGGCTGGCACCAAGAGCGGAAATATTCAGTTGGTTTTGATTTTGTTGACTTTTTTCGCTGAGGAACTTTCCCTCGAGATAGCTAGAGTAGACTCCCTTCCGCGTGCACCTTCCATGTGGCAGGTCCGATGCCACATTTTCAAAATGCATTTTGCCATAATCGTGCGGAATAAAAGCACCAAGATCTGTAACCCCTTCCTCAGCGTGGGTACAGCCGTAGAGTAGACATATCCAGTTTTGCTGCTGGTGTGGTTGTGAATTCTCTCGTCCATCCCAGTGAGCTCTCTGTTTCGCTATTTCTGGATGCTCTTCCACTGGTGGAACGGAACCCTACTTGTCACGTTCTTGGAGTGGGCCGAGGTTGCCTACTTTATTCCTTCCAGGTGGATGTACTAGCGCCATGGAGTTCTCACTAGAGCGGCACCAGTCATGGGTCTGCAATAGCGTATTGTGCCCGTCTCAGTTCTGGCACGGCAGAAACTTTCTAGGAAACTCCTAGAAAGTGGGAAGTTAATTCAGTGTGGATTGATTCTTCAAGGATGGTGGGTACGTCTCCTGATTTTCGCCTTTATTGCCTTTCGTAAATATTCCTTCCTCGCAGCGACGCCTCATGCTTTCAGACGCTCTTTAGAACAAGAGTCCGACTCATCGCCGCATCCCGTGCGACATGGCTCAGCTGGACATGCCAGCGACCGCTGCCTTTTGTCTTAGTCGTTTACCTCTGAACTGGGAGGTGGAAAGACAGGAGGGGCAAATTGATCTTATATTGTTCTCTCGAGACAAGTGGCACGATAAATCCCCAAGACGTGTGGAATTAACACACCTTGCAGGACAGAACTCGATGCCCCTGAGCAGGCGCTGCGTGGCGGTTTTTAAAACAGCAAAGAAGGTAGCCTGACGCTCTGTCATAGCTTGCTGCATACCGACCGCACGCGCAGCGCGCCGTCCGCCGTTCAATGTCTGACCCTGCAAGTAGAGTATGAAGCGAAGAGACGATATGAAGCAGCATCGTGCTGCATCGATATTATAATTACTACATGCAGCGTATCTACCGTAGCGGATATTGGCACGATGCCAACGGGAAACGCGTCCGAAATCACTTTCTGAGTCGTGTAGAGAAAAAAAGCCTTTTATAGCGGGTTTTTGACCTCTTCACTTCGCTTTTTCGCCATTTTCTCCACTGTATGGCACTAGCCTACCATTTTGACTGGTATCGCGAAAATTATCACCCTTACGCCTTTAATGAAATAATTACACTTATTTTTAGTATTATCGATCTCACTGATCCTGAAATGAACGTGTTAGGAGAGGTCAGTGCACATGAGCTGGACGTGCAGTGTGTCGAATTCTCGGACAATACACGAGGTTCGTACCGTTCATAGTTGTTCAAAGAAGGGGAATCGCGTTGGGTGACGCGTTCCACGACAAAAAAAAGATTTATTGAGCCTTTTTTTGTCCTGATACCTTGTCACGCTTACAGGAGCTCCATATCTGTTTGCGTCTGGCGGTCGTGATCGTTTAGTGCACCTGTTTCGACCAAGCGATGAGGGCTATCAGCACTTGTTATGTGATTGATTAGACCATCAAAGCGCCCTGAATGCTGTTCGATTTGTACAGGTAGCAGTGGAATGAGCTTTTTAATTGTGCTCTTCAATCAACGGTGGAGGCAGGAGACCAATGTGGCAGCAAACAAGCTACGAAGTGACGCTTACAAGAGAGATGGCAGCGAAGCCCGCCGAGAGCTGCCCTTAATGAAGAACTCTCTTTTTGTTCAGTGATTTTCTGCGCTGTAAGAGAACAAAACATGAAGGCGCAATGCAGAGGGAAAGGAAATAAAAGTAGAAAAGCACCTGAGAACGTGGACATGCAAAAGCACTAGAATTTCAGCACTATTTGCGGTGGGTGTATTTCGCTGTTGAAGGCGTGAACAGATGCAGGGCCTGGTATGCTGGCGCCCCAATTGCAGGCTTGTCTGAGGCACAGTTCGACTTGGTGGGAGCATGTTGCCGCCCATCGATCATTGCTGTTATTTTGTGGAGACCTGTGAATTCCCAGTAGTAGACATTTTAAAGACAGCTCCCGCGATAAAAGTGTCAAGGATAATTGCTGATCATTTATGAAACACTAGCTGATAAGTAATTCCTCCAAAAGGAAAAAGCGCAAAAGAGCTCCTCAAGAACACCACAAGCAAAATGCTCCCTTACAGCTACACCCCTGCGGTCGTGGGCAACCCCTGGCGCACAATTCGCTTTCTGGCATTCCCCAGTAGTGAACAACGTACATTCAAAGAAAACAATATGTAAAAAACAAAGACAAGAACGAAAAACTTGAAAAAAGGAAAAATTCAAAAACCCTGGCGCGTCCGAATTTGGGTTTACGTGCAGTGTGCAGCTTTTGGTGCACGTCGAGCTTTTGCACCACAGAAATTGCATCATTCGTGATTTTTACGCGTTTCAACTTAGCGATGTGAGTTGCAGTTGACTGTATGTGCTCCCAATGAATAAAATGTGATGAAGGAGAGCAGAATTATTTATGGGCACGAGCGCGGTCAGCAAAAAGTACATGCAGTTCCGATTAATGCCCGCCGTCCCAACAAAGAACAACTGAGCGTCAGAGGGCAGCTAGCAAGTGGGGCGGTCCAACTGAGCGGGCGTTAGAACTAGAACTTTGAGCGGTTGTAGCTCGCTCCTCGCTCACTGTGGAGTCGCTAGAGTGGGATAGTATCTAGCTTGGGGGCTGAACTACCTGCACAAGGAAGGACGACCATGTACTACTTGAGCGGGGTGTCTTTAATAGGGAGAATCTTAGGACGCTATCATGGTGGAACTTATCTGAAGAATTAGCTGCCTCCACCTTATTGACTCCCAGTGGCATACAATTATGTAAGTCCTTAATGTGCTTTCAAATTCGAGGATGCCTGAAGTGTCCTTAAGATTCAGTCATTGGAAATTAACGACTACCTAATGTTACTTATTCAGATCACAACAACTGACCTGTATCTTTTTAGCGTGTGGTCGGCAAAGAACGAATCATTATACTGGCGTCCTGGTATTAGAAACGCAGTGACGAACTTCTTTTTCATGCTCCAGCACATCGCTATCATGGGACGCGCACACGCATCTATACTCTTTATCCCTGAGACGGGGTAGGCGTGGCATTCGAACATGGCACAGAACTGGTTACTCGTGGGATATTTCAATTTGAGACAACCGCCATCTTGTTCTTTGTTGGACAGAGACGTGACCACATTTGGGTCAAAATAAAATATCTCTCCAAAAAGCATAGCCACCACGACGTTCAGTTGAAGTACGCAGCCACGCCTACCTCATCTCAAGGATTTGGAGTGTAAGGTCAGTCGGGGAGTATCAGCGGGGCATAGGATCGACGGAAAACGGACTGGTGACGCGCCAGGTGATGAGGGGCTGGAGTTGCGCCAGAACGCTCACGCAGCTGGCCTTCCCCGACTGACTTCAGCTATAACTATTGCGCCATTTCACCGATATATTGGAAGGCAGCAGTGAATGCTATCTATGCTGTGAATGAATAGTTATTGAGCTCTTTCCAGGATGCCATACAATTTGTTCGTGAGAATCTGATCTCAGCCCAGATGGGAATTAACGATATGTTGGTGCCAGCAAGTGGTGGAGTGATACTGGCATCGTGCCAAGATCGCCAATTGCGCTCTTACTCACTTTCCGGGAAGCTGTTGACCGCCGTCAAGGGTACTGGTGGTGAAGCCGATCTTCAACAAGGCTGGCTAGGAAAGGTACGCTGCACTGGTTTACGTATTATGTTGAAATGTAGTTTGTGAATTATGGGACCATTTCAACGTTGGCTTGGGGGGGGGGAGGGAGAAAGAACGTTTGGCACTTTCGCTGCTTCCCAACGACGTGTCGAGCCATCAAGTGGAGACCTGTGAGATCTTGTGAAGCCGTACCAGCCAGAGTTTGTGAAGACCCCCAATCAAGCGTTGTAAAGAACACCTGTAAATTCTTGTAAAGCAATGAACCCGACGACGGAAAGTGGCGAAAGTGCAAAGTGACACCCTCCCTTCCCCCCCCCCCCAAGCCAAACTGCGTCCCATTTCTCTTTCCCTCGATACATGCCAATGTTTTCGATTACAGTTCTGCCTCGATCCGTCGTGCACCTATGCGGCTAGCGTCTGCTCAGATCGGCACGTTTATGTAGTTGAGGTTCGCACAGGAAAGTGTGTTGCGGCGGTGACAGGTATCGGAGAGTCGGCCACCGATGTGGAGTTTTCTGAAGATTGCAGGTAGGCGGTTGTGCAGTGATGCAGTAAGAGTCTCACTAAGACGAAGGTCCTAATGGCAAAGGATAAGGCTAGCAGTTACGAGGCTCAGATAGGGCAAAAAGATGACAGTAAAATCTGTCGTTGATTCATGTGCTTTTGAGGAGGGCTACGTTTTCTACGCTCATTCAGGACCCTATGAAGGGTATGACCTATATTGCCCCTCTGTACGGGGGGGGGATGGTGGGGAAACAGTGTACGGGACTATGTTCCGTTCCGTTCATCGCACCGGGAACCAGAACAGGGTACAGCATCGTTGTGTGAAACACATAGGGTCGTACTTATTCCCTGGGAAGGGGGGGGTCGTATTAGATCGCTGGGAGAGAGAGGGTCGTATGTGCCTTTGAGAGAAATTTGTCGCGTTAGTTCTCCGGTTGTTGATTTTTTGCGTGATTTTTCCTGTTTCATGTGCACTATATTCCTCCCCCCTGTGCACTATATCCGCTCCCCCCCTTTCAGCTGCCAGAAATTTGGGTAATAAAACGTAAACTGTGGTGGGCAATTGGTGGTGGTGCTTGGGGAAGGGGGGGGGTGTACCGAGCCCCACTTAGGTGAGGGCCGTTCTGACACCTCTCTCTCGGAGGGGGGTCGTACTCTACATCACCTCAAGAAATTACGATGGGCTACCAACTGAACACCAATAACCCATCCGGCGGTGGGCTGGTACGCTTTGTTTGGGCCCGTGTTGAGGGGGAAAAAAAAAAACAAAAGAGACTCGACCCCTCGCACGGTACCCGGATATGAAGAGAAATAGTGTGTGATGGTGATAATGATGATTATTAGAGTAAGCTTTAGAAGCAGTTTAGGGAGAAATCTAGGGTGTTGAGCGTAAGCGAACTAGGCACTGCCAGTGGTTTGACAGACCAGGACCTATCCACTGTGCGTGGCAGCGGCCATGTTCGTTGGCTGTTCCTCCCAAGTCAAGTCGTATTGCGATGCCGCGACTGGCAAGTAACGCTCTACCATTGAGTGCCATTGAGCAACCGCCTATAGCGAGCGGTTATAGAGTAAAAAACATATTGCTGACCAGTAATAAAATATGATGGATGGTTGAAAACGACAGCTGAAAGGATGCTGTTGTGAAGTACAACGTGCGATTGAATAAAGACAGATTTTATTGGTGTTTTCTTACTTCAAGCCTTGTCTCGTCTTGATTTTATCGATATGTGGCGGGTGATAAAATATTATAGAGGTGATTAAAATTTACGACTGGTTGGGGGCTGCTGTAAAGGAATTTAGTACTATGCATGCTATGAATACCATTATAATTGTTGTTTTCTCGGTTAAAAGGTAGGGGAAGGCTGTGGTGGCATAGCAAAGCGAGAAATTTCAGAAACTCGTTTCTTGAAGTATGAGACATGAGGGTGGGAGCATTGTTTTGGACATGATGTCGTTCTCATTTCTCTTTCCACAAATTCCACTTTATCTAGTGCTTGACACGCGATTTCGCTTCCTATCCAATATGAAAAACGGGTATGTAGCAAGAGAATCGTAATTCGCCGCGCTGGTAAGCGTCGTGTGCGACGTGGCGCCCGCTAGTGACGACGATTTTAGGTGGTATATTGGTCGAGAGTAGACAATGTATATAACCAAAAACAGGCACACATTGTCCCTTGTCTGCATGAAATCCGATGCTCCAATCGAAAGGGTAGTGCAAATTAAGGAAACATCGCGCACATTGCCGTACGCGACGAAGCGGCAATTCACGATTCTCTTGCCCGTCTTCCCTATGAAAAGTCGGAGATGACAGTGCATGACAGGTGGCGCTCACCACTTACGATCCAGTAGTAAGACTTTGTAGTGGCACTTATCGTTAGAGGGGTCAACTTATTCGTTTGTAGTGCGGGAACTTTTTGCGAGCTAACAAGGGAGGTCGTTCAGGCCGTGGTGAGCTTTTTCAAAACGGTTTGTTGCATGTTGTAGGGGTCCATGCGAGGACCACAGCGATGGGGTTCATTTTTGCTAAACGGTTTTGGGAATGTCAAAAAAAGGTCAAAAACAATTCGAAAAGAATGGGCTTTTTAAACCACCTTATTCCCCTCTATTCTAGCTGTAGCGTTGACAGTGTATAGTATGTAGGGTATTCTTTGAGCAGGCATGAAGAACAGCGCAAAATAAGGTCAAAATCCAAATGGTCTACTTGGCATGCGGTGAGCTGCATTGGAGTTTTCCGGTTATCTCTTCAACAGGTCCTGTATCGCTAGTGTCGGAGTGGCAGATGGTGTAGTGGATAGCGCAACGGGCTCTCGACCGGTGGGTTTGTGATCGGGTCCCGCCTCGGCACCGCACTGTTTTTGCATTTTCACATTTCTTGCTTCTTGTATTCCTGTATGCCCCATAATGTGTATGACCCGGATATACGCCATTTGAAGGCACATTCCATGCGGGAACGGTTCACAAATAGGCCTCACTCAATTATTATGCTCGTGAAATACTATCGAAAACTCTTCATGAAACTTGGGTTACGGCGGTTATCCGATGCTCTGATCATGAACACGACACTCATTTTTGAATATGGCGCAATGTGTCGCTAATTTGGTGCAAAGGCTTTCTCGTACTACCATCATTGTCAGTCTGCGCGGCGGGGCTATTTAGCGCCGTACTGGCCCCAGATGGCCTCCGCGGCAAAAATAGTATCTGAATCCGTGGATCAGGATTATCACTTACGGCCCCTAACGTATAGAGTTACGCCGAGAAAAATTTTCCCGAGCTTTTTTGTGTTATGTTGCCGGCCATGTCTCCAGCTAGTGGCTATCAGCCCCCCCCCCCTCCCCCAAGGAGTCGTTATCCAACATCGTTAAGAGGAAGCTTTTCATTTGCTAGTATGCAGACGCAGAATTAAAAACTACACAAAAAAGTGACGCACATACACTGCACTCCTGTCATACCTTTGATATGAGCAACAAAAACCTTTCTTCGGGCAAGTGGTAACGAGTTCTTTCTCGAAAGCATAGACGGTAAAAGTGAAGAAAATCCAGGATGCTCGTTAGTGGCTCCGAAGCTAGCAAGATGTTCTATGAAGACCTACTGAAGTTGAGGGGCAAGAAATGAAAAATTTCTGGCGGTTCGTCTGCCAGAGGGAATACTTAACGGAGGGTTCGCCTGTCACTGCCATCCAAGGGGTCAGGTCCATGACCACTAAAGAAACTCGAAAAAAATTTTTTTCGCTGAAACCTCTCAAACAGGGGTAATCAATGGCCCTGATCACGATTCTGACAATTATTTATGGCGCCGACGTGATCTGGGGCCAGCGTGGCGCTAAAAGGCCACTGCGAGCGCGAAGGGATGCTGCATAAGCCCCTAAAGAAATTGCAGTGTACCTCACTGTATGCCAAGTAAGGCACTTGTATTTCGACCTTATTCAATGTTCTTTTTCATGTCTAGTTGAGAAACACTTTAAACTCTTTGTATTCTGCTTTACAGCTGAAACAGATGCGAATGAGATGATAAAACTTGCGTATTTTAAGCGATTTGTTTTTATTCCTTTTTTGACATTCCCAATAGCGTTTAGCAAAAATGAAACCCATCTGTGTGGTCCTTGTATGGACCCCTACAACATGCAACAAATCGTTTTGAAAAAGCTCACCACGGCCTGAACGACCTCCCTTGTAAGCACCCATCATTCTTTTCAATCAGGGTACAGCATCGTGATGTTTGAAATTTCTACGTCAGCACGACCCCTTCCCTATCCTGCCCACAATTTCCTGTTATCCCAGCTTCCTAGTTTACCAGCTTTTTCCAAAATTTTCCTTATTCCCAAAAAAACTGCCTCCGAGGAGGAAGGGAACCCGAGAAAAGTTTCCCAAAGGGAACATTTTCTCTCGCTCGAGTTTTGATTGCTGGCAGGCTCCAGTTGAAGCAGGTGAGACCTCTGATGGGATTTCCCCAACGATACTGTCTACAGGATCGGCAAACTGGTGCGAAACATCTTTAGGGGATGAAAACATGAAGTAAAGAACACAGCAATAAAAAGAGCTTTCAAAGGGGTTCAGAGAGCGCGCCCGTGCAATTTTTGTCGCAGAGCGGGCATTATAGCAGCAATTTTTGTGTACCTTGACTCAACCGTAAAATCATAACAGCTTCAGATTGATGCCAGTTACCTTGGCCGACTCGAGTTCGCGCGATGACGGGTGAAATCACCTTATCGTGACCTTATGAGCTTAGATGGAGTTGAAGTTCCATCATATCAATTAGAGGGGGCAGCTTACCGTTAGATAACTTTTCACTGGGCCTCTTTCATGTGCCTTGCCATACTGTGCGGAGAAAACGTTGATGATGTACTCCATAAGCAAATTGTCTTTTCATTGCCCTTGCCCCCACCCCTTGAGATCTTGTCCGTGAGCTCTTCCCCTCCACCCCCTCGCCCCGATCCACACAACGAGGGCACGTCGTATGTTCTAGAATCTCCTGTGGAGGGTCGTGTTTAATCGCTGAAGGCGGGTTCAAAGTGACACCCTCCCCCCTCCTAGTTAGCGACGCTGTCGAAGTCATAAAGAACTACTTTTGGAGAATGGAATTCAAGGTTGATGACGACCCCTGTTCGACGGCAAAAATTGGAGAACGGCAAAAATTGGAGAACTGACGGAAACTTGGGAGAAAAAGCAAAATTTTTGGGAAATCAAAAAAGTGTGGTGGGAGCTGGGAAACGGAGATTAATTGGTGAGATAGTCGATAGGGTGGCGTAGGGGGGGTCGTAATAAAGAAGGAAATCGGGCAGAGGTACCCCCAGAACTGTCCTCGTGCAGGCAGGAGTTGCTGACCTACCGACTATTGCATTAGGAATGTCCTGCCTGTTTCAAAATGGAATTGGTCCACACTGAACCCCCACCCCAGTAACACTGCTTCCTAGCAAGGATACATTTTTTGAGTAGATCTTAGAGAATTGAAAATCAGCTGAAGCGTGATATCCCACTTGTGAGAATTTGAGATTCTTCCAATGAATCGATAGATTGTAATCAACAAGTTTTT